GGACTGAATCTGCCATTTGGGCGAGGGGGGATTACTGCAGGTAATCTGTAACTAAGCAACGGGTAAAACGTGGGAACGGGGAAGCTATAAATACCATGTAAGCTATGCCAAGCCAACCCTGGCTTTGTACTTACTTATGTTATGCTTGAGTAAGCTTCTTTGCTGAACACACATGTCCTGAGTTTCTCTGAGACAAACAGGGTAAACCTTACAGCGCTGACCTTCGGAGGCACGGCAGAGCATGTGAGGGAGACCCAGGGCCCGAGACTGATGGCGACAGAGGGAGCGGCTGCTCCAGAGCAACAGCGGATGGCAGAGGCGGCACCGAGACAAGGTGGGATACGAGAGGCAGCAGTGGCAATGGCGGACATGACGGCAGTGATGGCAGTACAGAGCCCCAAGGCAGTGTGGGTCCAGACAGTGGCTGCGGCGGCAACGGCACTCGCTCAAGCAGCGGCGGGAGAGCCACGGGGCACCGAGAGCATCCTGCACCCCTACTGCGACCTGGCGGCAGTGTTTAGCGAGGTAGACTCAGACCAGCTACCACCTCACCGATCCAGCGATTGCACCATAGAGTTGGAGCCCGGGTCCAAACTGCCAAAGCCAAAGATATATTCCATGTTGGGAAAGGAGCTGGCCGCCCTGAGGGAATTCATCGACAATAACTTGGAAAGGGGGTTCATCCAACTGGTGAAATCCCTGACGGCAGCCCTGGTGCTTTTCCGAGAGAAAAAAGACAGCTCCCTAACAGTCACAGTCATTCAGTCACAGTCGGGGGCTGAATGCCATCATCACCGAGTACAAATACCCACTCTTGTTGATGAAGGACTTACTATCCAACCTGTCCAAGGGGAAGGTGTTTACGAAACTGGACTTGAGAGAGGTGTACTTCCGAGTCCAGATACGCGAGGGCAATGAGTGAAAGACTGCCTTCAACTGCCCGCTAGGCAGCTTCCAGTATCGCATGATGCCATTTGGGTTAAAAGGGGCTCTGGGGGTGTTCATGCAGCTAATTAACAAAATGCTACATGATTTTCTCTACCAGGGGGTCCTGGTCTACCTGGACATCCTGATCTACTCAGACGCTGACCAAGCACGTGAAGCTAGTGCGGGCCGTGCTACAAAGACTGGTAAAGGCACAACTATACACAAAACTTTCCAAGTGTGAGTTCCACCGGGAGAGACTGGACTAT